CGGAGCCCTACCGTCACGGACGGCCACGCCGGCCCCGCGCCGCGCCACGTTCATGGGCGCCATCAGGGTCCAGGTGTTGTTCTCCGGGTTGTAGCGCTCCACGCTGCTCAGGCAGTTCCACGACTCCGCGCCCCCGATGATGTACAAATACCCGCCCAGCTCGCACACCGCCGACTGATGCCTCCCTGCAAGCGAAGGGCGGGAGTTACAGCCGGCCCAGCCCCCTGCGCTCACCGCGCCCGCCGGCATTCAAACGCTTCGGTTTGAAACCCCCCGTTTTGTGGCTTTCCCTTTCTCCCCTCCCTCCCAAAACACACAGCAAGCTTACGGATATTAAGGGGAGCGCAGCTTGTCCAAGATTTTGTTACAGGATCAAACACGTCACAGTTCTTAAGTCCCTTTTGGCCGTAAGGATCTGAACCACCGACAATGTAGAGTTTTCCATTCAGGGCACACACTCCTGCTCATAGAGGAAAGAACAGTAAGTAAGCTCGTAAGCGAACACGTGTTTTAAGGACTCATCGACAGGCAGCAGCAGCTGCGTTACCTGCATTGCAGCGGTTGGTTCTCAGCTCCGGAACAGGAGTCCAGTCGTCTATTTCTGGCTCATACATTTCTCCACAGCTCAAGTCATCCGAGTGACCGTTTGATCCACCCACAACGTACAGCTGCCCCTAAAGGGAAAAAACAAACACCTGCCTCGCATCCTGGTACACAATTCAAACCATGAGCAATTTAGTGACCACGTAACTACAGGTAAGCACCTTCTGTTACCATTTAGTAAAGCCACCTATATTTACGTAATTGTCACACTCCATCTGCCCCCACCCACCATTAAAACTGCCATCTGGAACCGAGCTCGTGGGGTTCTCATCGGTGCAATGAAAGTCCAGGTGTCCTGTTGTGGGTCGTAGCATTCCACCGTGCGCAAACACTCCTCTCTGTTGTATCCGCCTGAAATCAAAAGCTCAGATGATGTCACGTTTCCAAAGACCAATTGCTTTGATGTTATAGAATCATAGATTGGTTTGGGTTGGAAGGGACCTTTCAAGGTCATCCAGTCCAACCCGTGTGCTGAGGACTCCAGAGCTGGCTCCAGCACCAGAGGGGCAGAATCCCTTCCCTCACCCTGTGGCCCACTGCTCTGGGTGCTCTGTGTGCGCCCCGGGCTGCCACTGCCTTCTGGGCTGCAAGCACACACTGCAGACTCATGTCCAGCTTTGCACCCCCCAGCACCCCCAGGTCCTTCTCTGCCGGGCTGCTCTGACTGACTCCACTCTAGCATGCCACATTAAGCAGGCAGTGTCCCCCCCACCCCCAAGCAAGCACCATTACAATCTCCTTTACCTGCAGCGATGAGCTTGCCGTTCAGTTCAGCCGTGCCCAGCCCAGAGCGAGCGTACTGCATTGGAGACATGGGCTTCTCTATGATATCGTCTGGTTGCAGCTCAAAGCTCAGGCTCTTCAGGAGTCGTGGTGTGCTCGTGGGAGAGCTCTGAGGGCTGTTGCGGCCATGCAGGAATATCACACACAGCACACCATCCAGAACAGCAAGACACAGGTAGGTGTTACCTGTTGTCAGGAGAAAAGGAGAGACCACCAACGTAATAAAATTTTAGGTGGATTTAGGTAAATGCCAACTAGAGTCTTCCTATTGTGCTTCTCCTTAAGTGTGAAAGCTTTACTTTTTCTGGTTACAGGTTCCAAGTGTTAGCCCAGTTACTGAAAGATACAAGGTTTAGATTATAAATACAGTGCTCGAAGGACATAAGACAGCAACCTAAAGATGTGAAAGAAGTCTCTTCATCCCCTCTGCAAACAGCTCTGTTAATTCATTAGAGACTCCCTATCTGCTTAGGACCTTCTGGGCAAATTAAACACAGCGGGGCATGCCAGATGGCCCTGCCTATATGGAATCAGGATGCAAGTGATCCCAGTTTGGCCCCCAACGGCTTAGAAACATCCCACAAATAAGCAGGCCAGTTACTTGATGTGCACCATCAGTAAGAAAAAGCACTTTGCATCCCTTACAATACTGAAGGAAATCCCCAGGGAGTGGAAGATGGCAGGTACAAAATATGAGGCGCAGCTTTTAGACAAACCCTGCCCCAGTTACTCACTTGAGGTCTTCTCTGAAGCAATGATTTTCCACTCGTGTTTAGGATTCTGAGCAGTAGCATTTGGAGAAAGACTTCCAGAGGAGCTGCTACTAATCTGCTTGTGATCATTCTCACGTGGTGGCTTCTTCTGCAAAACCAAAAGGCAGCTACAGAAACCTAGCAATAGACTACTCCTCCTTCTACCTCTCTACCTCCGCTTCTCTGAGCTAATCCGTAACTATTCAGGAGAACCTGAATTCATCTACCACCTCCACACAGCATCATTCATAGCACACCTACATTTTCAACAGAACACCTTGCATGCTTAGTGGCAGTGGCCAAAACCCACCCTACCTCTTATCTCAGCACTCCTTTCATCCTGCAACAGCAGCTTTCTGCGGCTGGCATCTGACTGGGAATCATTTCAAGCCCCCAGAAGGGAGCATGTGTTACTAGCGGGATTCTCAAGTGTCAGGGAAAGGCAACATCCATTTGGAGAGATCCGATCCACCAGCTAGAAGGCTCACTCACAAGCTCTGCTTCTGGAACTTGAGTTAATTATGTAATGCTATTTGGAAGTGAATTAACTATTCTCTTCATTCCCTGAAGACAAATTAATTTTGCCTCAGTTCCTCTCTGTGCTCAGATTAGCTGTTTCTTGGATTTTACTCCCTTGGTACCTCCCACTAACAGAAGAATTCTGCTTTCTTTTCTTCTTCAATAAAATTTATACAGTAGCTTCATTATTTTGCTCAATTAAGTAAAAAAAAAGAAAATTTCAGATTACACTGCACAGTTGGTTGGGTTGTTCAGGCTTTTACTGAATCCTAAGAACCAAACACAAAAGGTTAACATTCTGTCTCTCCTGCTTAGCAGCAAAGTTTATGACCACAGGACCAGGTCTGTGATGCTTGCGCAGCTCCCTGGAGCCTGAGCTCTGTGGAAACTGTCACGAGACCTCCGTGACACATCACCCAACTCACCACAGCCTTACGCAGAAGGGTCTGATTGCCATACTCAGCTCACCATGAGAAGCAGTTCATTTCTGCATAGCATCATTGTTATTTTTGCATCTTCATCCAATTAACAGCATATTCTCTTATCCTTAAACGCCCTCGACAATTACAGAAATTGCAAATTTTTGTAGCTCAAAACTTTCCAAACTACAATTTTTCCAAATCTATGGGTTTTCTCCTGTTTGCTCTCTCAACCGTTTATTATGTGTCTGAAGTTGTGAATTCTTATTATCAGAAAGGATTTACAAAAGGAAAGAAATTGAGAACTCTTGGCCTGATTTCTGAAAATGAACTTTCTGAACATTCACCTCTCAGCTTGTAAATATTACGAGGGGAGTAGTATCCAAAGGTGGTGAAGCTTGTGAAGGCTAACTAAAAATAACTGAGAAACAGGAAAATTAGCTACTTTCTCCTTTGCCTCTCTTTTCAACTTCTAAAATCCATGTTCTGGGATGGAGATCATTTTATATAAACATTGCTAAAAATTTCAAGAAGTATACTTTTGTATCAGCACATTCCATGGTTCTGAGTTAAAATATTACAATAGATTGGTATCTAACGCAGTGAATTTAAGCAACCTTAATTTGTATAATGCAACTGATAATTTATATCTAATTAGACCTGTTTTCACTCTTTGTTTCTTAAACAGTCCCCAGTGTGCTAAGCTATGTGTTTTTCAGGAGTTCAGAATTATTATATATGGCTAGAACTAAAAATAAATAAATAAATCTCAGAAGCACAAGACTGACTTCTCCACAGTCAGAGTTCTGGTTGTCTCTAGATCAGAAGTTGGCTGCTGCTGCTTTTTAAAATCTCTCTTGCACATTACCAGTGCAGCTGAACAAAAGAAATGGACACTGGCAGCTGGAGGATTAGAACCTAGGTCTGGAATCTTTTCTGTGCCAAAATTTAAACAGACACATTCTCCGCGGCAAGGCAAGCAGCCTCTGATTCTTTACAGTCTCTCCAATGTCTGTACAAAGCCACAGCTGACTGCTTTGCCACCTCTTCCTCCTTCTAACAGCCTGACATGGATTTGGAAGTCAAACCTAAAGCACTCTGTTCTGCAAAGGCTCAGTCAGTCTGCCAAAAAACCAAAAGCAGAGCCTCAACAGCAGTCTTGAGAAAGCTGCTTTCTTGTCACGAGTTTCTCCCTGAAAGCTACTGCTGCTCTCCCTGCTAGGAGTACACAGGAGCTCAGGTGTGCTGTAAACTGCTCCAGTCTACCTGGGGTTACCTGAGACTGTCTGCAATTTGTACCTGCACAAACTGAATGTGGTCATCATCACTGCCATACACCTCAGCCTGTCCATCTAGCAGATTTCCATCAAGCAGCTTGTGATCAGCTGAGTAGTACAGCGTTTGAACCTGCAAAAACAACAACAGAATACCCATGTGGCTATGGTTTCCATTGCTCCTTAGCTACAGGCAGGTTACAAAAGGCAGGCACCAGCATACTTCTCGTCAGCTCATCTCAATCTAGCAGAATGACAAAACTAAAAGGAAGCAGATGTCATGGTGGCAATCTTCAAACACGGGATGAAGGTTCCTTACTTTCTCAGCTTGAGAGAAATCTTCACGTTGAAGGACTTCTGCTGCTTTTCCAGCACAGGAACATTAGACAAGCAAGAGGCACATTAATTTGCAGAATTACACAACGTCACAATCTCATGCAAGCATTTTTGTTATTTCCCGCAAACAAGGTTTCTGCTTCAAAAAATACACACATTTATCTCGATCAAAAAAAGTCAGGGGAAGCCAACAGTGGACTCTAAAAGAAAGGTATGGCCATGAGGGAAGACAACACAAGTTTAAGCTCTGGAGGAAGCTGTTGTCCACAACTAAACATCAGCTGTTACCATTTCAGTGAAATGCATCTGAGTTTCAACACGAGCAAAGCTTTTTAAATGAGTTTTCCATGAGGAAATATACACTTGAGAACATACGACAGTATCAACATATATTTTTGCCCAGACAAGTGCTTCCAAAAAAGTCTATTGTGCTTGTAATAACAAATTTGGACAATTTTGACGTTTCATGTTTGGGTTTTTGTAAAGTCCGTTTTCTCCAGCCAATTAAAAATTTAGACTCCCCACTATTTTTTCCATTAAACACTGCCCAGGCTACATCTCGTATTAGTATTCATGAGTAAAGCCATTTAATAACACACAACTTTTAAAATAATGTATCCTGTAAAGGAGTAAGTAAACACCATTAAATCATCATCATCGTTCTCTGCCCACAGCGGATTTTCTTAGGAGAACTGGGGCAGGACAGCTGCTTCTGTACGTGTCAATACACTTGAGGTTTCTTCTTGGTTCTTCAGCCTTGGTATCCTAGTTTTGTTAATAAACCTATGGGGAGATAAATCAACGGGGAGGAACAACCATTAGAAGCTTTTACCTACTTTGCATTTACAAGCAAAACCTGCAAAGGAAAACAACAAGAATCTACAGCAAGTTTCAGTACCACCTCCCCAATTCTAAAGCAAGATACACGCCACTTTGAGGTTACTATACAGCACAGAGTGAGCAAAAAAGGAAAGCGGAAGACCAGACTGAATAGTTCATTCAGCTCACCTGAACACCCCCCCAGTTTCTCAGCTTAGGGGTACCTACAGTAAAATTTAAATTCTTTAGGGTCATAGCTTAAAAAAAAAGTGAGGAAAAAAAGCAAAAGAAAAAAGGGATCATCCTTCACATTGACTTCTTAAAAATTTTAAAAAGAAAAGCTGTTGACCCCCATTTTCTTAAAGACTAACCTCTTCCATGAGATCTTCCAGGCTGTCTCCGTTCTCCCAGATGCTGCGCTGTACCCAGTTGATTACCTTTGTGTACAGTTTGCCATTGCTGGGTAGGCCGACATTGTCTTCCAGCATTACTTCAAGCTTGAATTAGAAAAGAAAAGGATCATTTACTCCATAGGCACCATTAGTGTAGCGTACTGTGCTTTACATGGCAAGCATTACTCTCACTTTCCCACAGAGCCAAACAACATCGCTCCCAAGGAGCTTTCAGCCTATACTACTGAAACCAGGAAGCACGTTGGAGTACAACTGCAGTCACCTTCTGCTCTGGGAAAGGACGACTGCATCTGCCACGGCCAAGGCTCACAGCAGTATGAGCACTACGCTGACCCAGAATTTGTACATGGTTGGTAGAAGTCTGTATACCAAGCTGTGCTGGGTTAACGGTTGGACCCGATGACCTTAAAGGTCTCTTCCAACCACAATGACTCTATGATTCTATTCTACGTTTTCCTGCTCCCAAAAAGGAAGCTGTAATAGTTGATCCTTGGTTTGCTTTTTGGGACTCGTGTACCAGAAGGAAGTCTACAAACTTAAGCTAACCTTTAACCGTGGAAGTTTGAGAAATTCTTCCTGTTCTGAAATGTGTAAAAGATGTTCCTGAATGTAGCCGTCGATCTTGTTCAACAAACGCAAGTCTCCCATACAGCTTGCAAAGTTTCGGTAAGAGATGCAGCTCTGAGCATCCATCTTGGAGAGCAAATAGTCACCACAAACCTTAGAGGAAAAAAGCTGCATCTTAGTTCACAAGCAGACAAGATTTTTAGATGTTTAAAGGACATCTATCCCAGCATACAGCACCAACTGTTTTCTAACTGCAGAATAGTGACTGCCTGTTGTCATCTCCCCCTGTGCTAGAGCTGTAAACTAAAAGTTGCCTTCCACAGGAGTATGCATACATTAAAAGTAAAAGCCATATACATTTCAATGCTACTCACATATACAGTGAACCCTGTGGAAAGCCCATTCAAAATTGCTTATCTGCAGCCAAGTGAGGGTAAGAATCCCAACTCCCTCGTCAAGGGTATCCCCGTTTGTGGCAGGAGCAAGTATTTCTAGAGTTAAGCGCTTCAAGTCATGTTCAGGAGGGTGTGGATTATTCTTTTTCCCCAATTAACAGGTTTAATTATGCCCCCCAAGGTAACCAAGCACACCACCACTGCCACAAACCTGCAGGGAAGCTGTGGTTCAGAAGCTGTTTTGCTTATATGGGTGCACAAACACAAACCTTAACTTCAGAGCGTCCTTCAGCACGAAGACAACACAAGTGGAAGCAATACTTGGGTCACTCCAATTAATACAGTGCTTATAAACATCTGAAGAAGCTTATCGGCTAAGCACTTTTCCTACAAAATCATCACTTTTTGTCTCATTAACACCAAAAAGCATAATGCTGCCAGCCTGAGAAAGCAGAACGGACTTGTGGAAGAGCTGAGAACTAACTCTACCTGCTTAACTCTCTCCATCTTCAGCTTCTTTGCTGCAGAGTATACATCTTTCACCAGTTCCTTATCAGCTTTCAACCTATTAAAGAAACAAATTAATTTTTATTATTTTTATTTTTTTAAAATTAAAGTCTACTCCTTAATGTATTTGAAAACTACTTACTGAGCAGTATAGGCGTAATTCAACAGAACTTCAACAGCTTCTGGATTGAGATCATCAAATTTAACATGGGAAATTCCATGAGAATCACTATCACTATTGAAGATTTCAAACAGGTAGGGACTGCAGCACGCTAGCACGGCTCGGTGCGCCAACATCTCATGTCCACATACCTTTATTTAAAACACAAACAGGAAACCCACATGCTGGTATTTTTTTTTTAAATACGTTTGTCTTATATAAAGGCCTACCCAAGTGAACGTCACAGCCCAAATCCATTTTTCAAATCAATACATGTCCAATTGACATCAGCTAAAAAAAAACACAGTGTTGCTTCTTTCAAAGTATATCCGATTTTTTTTTAAGTCTACATTTTTTAGAAAAATCAAGATTCTAGAATCTCACACCTCCTAGTCAGAGGCACACAGCATGACAGTGTGACAAAACCTCCACCACATTGAGCCATCACACTCCAACAGAGCAAAGGTACCTGGAGACGGACATCGCAGAACTGGCCACTCTTCCGTAAGGCGTTTAGTTTGGCAACAGATGACTCGATGAAGTTTTCATCTTCAAACATCAAATATCCATTAGGAATCATTTTGGTGTGGGTCTGGCTGCAAACAGAACGTATATTAGAGATAGAATATTTTGCTTCAGCATAGAAGTACTACTAACTGAACATTTGCAAACAAAGGTTCATGGGGAATTAAATAAAGAAAATCCATCTTAAAAAAAGCTTAGAAGAGGACACCGCTGATGAGGACACTGACAATAGTCCTTTGGATTGACTGGATTAATGATTTTCGGAGACTGAAGCCACAACTTTCAACTTCTCCACATTGCTTCAATAGGTACCAACTCCACAAGTACATGCTAAGCCTGCACTGACTCTGTGGGAGCAAGCTGGAAACCACTGGATTACACAAGAAGCCTCATTCCCCTCAACAAAGATGGGATTGGGTAGATCCCTTGTTATCTTCCGCTCACGGCATGAAATCTGTCGTACCAGTCAGCTTCATTTTTTGCACAGACTCAAAAAACCCCACCTACATTGAAAAATGAGAACTGAGAATTTAAAGTAGCTAATAAAGTAAAACTACTATAAAAATAATTTTTTGTTTAATTTAATGAGTAATGACTTAAGTATTTCAGAGTAGCTGAAAGCCATGAAAGAACATTTGCACCAACAAAATAGACAAATTAAATAGATTTTGAACAATGACCATGTATTTTACGTCATCACAAAGCTAAAGTAACTTTCCTTGAAAATCCTGCCCTCAGGTAAATTGGACCAAGTCTGGAAAAATAACTTTAGGAAACTAACATTTGAATTTGGAAGCTATTTTATAGGTCATTTAACAGATTTTTTTTTTTTAGCTAAGCACTTCTAGTAGAGGTCAACTTTCCAAACAGAAAGTCAATTAAGAATACTAAAATATGACCCTGAAGTGACCTAGTGAATTTGAAATAGTAATTAAACAAAATAAAGCCCAAATCTGTACATTTGAGCTGCTAACATACACAAAAGTACACCTTCCCTCCATGATTTTAGAGGAAAGAATATGTGGGATACTACTGATGTTACCAGCAACAATTTATATTTCCATCTGAAGTTTAAGAAAATTCTGAAGATCAGACTAAACAAGAAAACCCCCAAAACAGGAAAAGTGGATAGCAGCAATCAGTAATAAAACCAGGAAGCCCCACATAAAATTATACTAGTGTTAATCAGTGTATTTTAAGTTCACTTACTACTGGAAGCATTTGACCTTAAACTTGCAACAATAACGTGCCTTACAAGGATCATTATCTATTTGTATACACTCTCGTTTGTTGGGTTTTATGAAAAAAAACAGGACTGCAAAGTTTTAAGTTGTGGAATTTCAGCAAACAAATTATTGTATACGCCGCTAAGACTATCAACTTACCGGGCAAATATCTTAGTGTAAATTTTCAACTGGGAGATCTTAAACTAATCCAATGGTATCACCGTGTTAAAATAGTTTTAACTTCGGTTTCAGTATCTTCTGACAGGGAAGATGTTTGTTGAAATGCAAAAGCAGACGTGTCTTTGCAGCTGCAATATGGATTCCAAAACTACCAGGCTTAAAGATGATGTAATGAAGTCCTTAAGAGCTATAGACATGAATTTCTTCTGTGATAATCCTGCATCATAACCTGCAACAAAGGAGAAGTTACCAAGTAAGGCCAGCAGCTAGTACTGCCACATTTCAGATGAAACCTTAATCGGGTAGAAGATCCTGACCCAAACAAATTAGTTTTTCTTCAAAAAAAGGAAACAGCCTGAAAAATTCCATATCAACCCCAATACATTCTCATGCCTAACAAGGTCAACCCCATCAAGTTTTATACCTGCACAGACAAGAAAGTGGCTAAATCGGTGCTTAGAGAAAAAGTCAGAGCAGCTGAATCCCCTTTTTAGCCAGTTCTGTACCCCCTGTAGCCTCCAGCGCTCCCCATACCTAGAGCACTGTCCCCTGCTTGCCCGAGCAGATAACGCTTAACTAACACAACACAAAGGAATCAACTTTAAGAAAGCAAGCAGTCCACATGCCTCCTACCTTTTGCTTTTCCTGTACTGATCTACTTATATCCTTCTTCTACTGGATGCCTAAAATGGACTGAAGATGGATTAAGGACATGTCTGAAATGACTGGGCATGTCTCCAGTCTCTGGTACTTCCAAAAAAATCTGAAAGTCAGGAATTGCTATTTTGGTGAGAACTTTTTCTGACAAAAGCCTCTTTGCTACGGTGCGACCGGAACCCGTGAGGTTCTGCTGAAGTTCTGCCCTGGCAGCACAGCCTGGGGTCGCTCTGGGCACTCTGCTTGCGGGTGGGCTCTTTATCCCGCGCCTTTCTGGGGAGGGGAGCAGAGGAGGAGCAGCGGCAGTGGGGCGGGAACAGGCAACAAACACCCACTCTGGAATTTTCCATGACCCTCATGCCACCTCAGGAAAATATCAATCACTTGAGTTCCCCACTGCCATTCCAGAATTATTTTTGCATCTACAGATTAAATGCCACACTGGGAATCGGGTTTCCTAAAAATAGGTGCCAGCTCATTTCTCCTTGTCAAAAATGACAAGTCACCTATGTTATAGGGAAGAGAGCCTTGTGCCTGGCCAGCACTTCCACGCGGGATGGCTCTGGCAGGAGCTGTACCTCCCGCGGTCTCCAAGGAGCCCAGCAGCTCAAGCCAAGGCTGATTCTCAAGAGCAGCAGGGGGCAACATCCCACAACATACCAGCTCCGCGGGAAAAACACTTCTATCCACAACAGCTTCTGGCAGCTCTGAAGACACATTTCAGCCAGCAGGTAACTGGCTAGGAAGAATTGGTGTTACTGAGTGTGGCTACTCAAATAGACTCAAACACACACATGTAAAGGAGGAAACAACTGCTCCAGAGCAGCAATGGTGTTGGGTCTCTAACACAGAACGTCCAAACTCAGGGAGGACTACGGGAACAGCACCTGGGGGCTGTTCTGCAGTCTTTCTGCAGCATATTTTCATGTCACCATACTTCACTAGGAAAAAAATTTCAAGGATTAAATGTGTGTTCTTTTTGTGGGCAAGCTATGAAGCTGAAACCAAGCTCTATGTACCACATACTAGTTAATGAAGCATTTGAAAGTCAACACTCCTCTTGGTGGTAAAACTGGTATATCCATTTCAGTTTCTAAAGCGATCAAAACATTTCACTTCTCAAAACCAGAAGCACACAGTCTGATGTCCACACTTCCCCAAAGATTCACCTCATCTTCAGCATCCTGTTGCTCAAAAGTGCAGAGGCATTGTTTCAACCCAAGTGTCACAATGAATCAGCTTATAAAGAAAGGCCTAAGAATGTATTAGAAGTTATGCTTCGCCAAGACCATCCACAATCGTACAAAAGAATTATCACAAAAGACTTCCCACTTTACCATTTCTGATTTCAAGCCTCTCATTTCTGCAGGAATTATCCAGACAGGGTGGCCGGACCCGCCCAGCCAGAGGCACACCGCAGCGGGCGCCTGGGCAGGAGCTGCGCG